GGTGTTAGACATAGAAGAAAAACTCCCATTACGATAGCCAAAGTCTTGGTAGCTTTTCTCTCCATCTTACTAACAGTCGCTCCCAAACTATTGTGACAGTTTGTGGTCTGGATGCTCTTTGCCTGTTGCTGTGCAACAAGAAGAATCTTGAAGTAAATACAGAGCATTAAGACAGCTGGAAAGTAAAATGAGAACACAGCTCCAATAGTGTTTGCCACTATAGTATCAACTGAGCACATTTCCTCACATGTACCTTGGCTAAATCCTGCAAGTGTGATACCGATTCCAATCAGAACAGAGACACCCCAGCTCACCAGGATCATAACCACAGTTACTTGAGCATTTATTTTTGCTCTGTATGTCAAAGGCTGACACACTGCATAGTATCTATCTATGGAAATAAAACACAAGTTCAGAATAGACGATGTGCATAGTGTTACATCAAAACTGTCTCTTACTTTGCAGAATAAATCTTCATGAAACAAACATGAGCTTACAGTGAAAACCATACTGGAAGGGAAAACTAAAATTCCAACCAGAAGATCCGCAACAGCCAGGGAGAGAATGAGGTAGTTAGTAGGGGTGTGCAGCTGTCTAAAATAGAATATGGAGATTATAACAAGAAGGTTTCCACATACAGTGACAACACATAATGAACCAAGGAACATATACAATAGTACACACATAACGGAAGGGTTTTGCTTAAATGTATAGGTTTCGTTGTCTAATTCATAGCAGGGATGTATTGCATTCAGAATATAACTCTTGTTGACAGTGTTCTCTGTGTCCATTCTGGAGATTTGGACAGTCTCAATCTATAATTACAAGAAAATTGAACATATTTATTAAAGCAACCCCAAATCGAGTGCAGCCACAATGCATCACAACTAAACACAATAAATTCAAACATTTTCACTCTGTGAGAGATTTCCTTACTCAGTATTCCATCAGTTCATCATGCCTACAGTTTTAGCAAGAGTAATGATGCATGTCCTTGGACATTTCTCATTTAAACTCCATCTTCATCAAAATTCTAAACATTCCTGTTGCATATGGATACATGTGGATGCATATGCATGAAAACATCCTGAGTGATTAATAATTATATCTCAGGTGAGAGTCTCCATGTGTGTTTCCGTGTATATGTGTTTGTGTTTTTGAGGAAATTAGTTCACTTGTTGTCGTGAATGGAAATGCACCTGAATAACTACTGATTGTTGCAAACCTTAAATCTAGCACTTTAAATGGTACATAAAGTAGTAAGAAATACATTTTTTTTAAAAAATATTTTCACTTCTTGCTTTTCATTGTCAAGTTTAAATTAATGTATCAATGGATTACAAGCCTGAATGGGTTTTAAATTTTTAAACTTCAAAGAAAATAAAACTGAGGTATTCATTTTTTTCTCTGCTTGCTCCTCTCCCTTTGCCATTTTACTTTCTTTTAACTGCTTCCGAATCATCCTTATTTACCCCTAAAGTCTTGGATATTAATTTTATTAATTTCCTTTCAATTCTCCAAGATTGTTTAGATCATTTTTATTATTTTTCAATATATTAAGTGGAGTTACTTAACAGAAGCTATCATCATCAGGAGGATGCCCTACTTTAGGTAAATCATTTCCCTCTGGGATTATTAAAGTATTTTCTCATTCTGATTCTGATTTAATCTCCTACAGAAAATCAACATGCTGGAAACCAAAATCCAACGACTACATGTAAACGTGGAAATAAACGGTTTCAGCGGATGTGATACAACTTTACCTCTAAGTAAACATATTTGATGTGATCCTGCTAACCAACAGCTAATCATCACTAGCAAGGCTGATCATGAAATGGGAGGAGGTTGCTTTGAGTAACAAATCCTCAAGTTATGCCTGGAATGTGCTGGGTGCAAAGCAAAAAAAAAAAAAAAAATCTCACAGGGAGAAAATACAACCAGTCCTGCCAGGTGATATCAGTGATCCGACCTGCAGGCCAGCACTACCGAGGAGACCAAAGTCTCCTCATTCAGTTACACCGGTTGTTAGATTATTATTAATTATTATTAGAACCGGCCCGCAGGCCACAGCCACCCGCTGGTGTTTTTGCACGCACCAACACTACATTTCCCACAATGCAACGGTCGCCCGCGAAGTCACTGCAGCTTCAATCAGAGCAAAGATCGACTTATTGATAACCCCTCCTCAAAAATGACTAAACGTAAGGTGGACGCTGAGAACAGCGGGTTTCAGGCCAGGTGGGAGGCAGAGTACATGTTTACGGAGGAAAAAGGCAAACCTGTGTGTCTTCTGTGTGGAGAAAGTGTGGCTGTAATGAAAGAATTTAATTTAAGAAGGCACTATCAAACGTCTAAGAAACACACAGACAAAGACAAGAATATGGAATATGAACAAAAGCTACAGAAGGTGGAAGAATTAAAACGAGGCCTTAAGTCCAGAAAGGCTATGTTCACATATGCTAAATCACAAAGTGAGGCTGCTGTCAAGGCTAGCTTTATTGTGGCAAAAGAAGTCGCAAAATATTAGAATTTTTTTAATTTTACTATTTGAAAGCAGTGATCGCTGGTTCATAGAGCAGCACAATAATACATTTTCAGTTTATAATGCATGCACTTTTATTTATGCATTTATATTGATATTAAGAAACACTTTTTTTTTTAAAACAATTTAATTTCTTGCTGTTTGGCTGTTGAAAATGTTTTCCCTTGAAGTTACCGACAGAGCCATGATAATCTATATTTATTTATTTATTTCTTTAATCAGGACAGTGCACATTAATGAACAATCTCATACAGATTGTAAATGAGCCAGATTATAGCATAGTTGCTAGTTTACATCTTGTCATCCTGAGGCAGGAAGACCAAACAACACAAAATCACAAAATACAAAATCAGTCCAAACACACGTTCAAACAATGACATTACAAAATGAAAATTAATTCAATTCAATTCAATTTCATTTATATAGCGCCACATCACAACAACAGTTGTCTCACAGCACTTTCCAAACAGAGCAGGTCAGACCCTACTCTGAAGTTAATTACAGAAATCCAACAATATTGCCATATTCATTTAATCATTGTAAATACACTGTGTTAGGTTCAATAGGCTATGTGCAATCGTTTCGATATGTTTTAATAAACATTGAACCAGTCCGGCCCTCGGCTTGTAGCAAATTTGTTTTTTTGGCCCTTGATGTGTTTGACTTTGACATCCCTGCTTTACAGCATATATAGCACACAAGGCATTTTACTTTTCCATTGTCCAAACACTTCAGGGGAGTTTACAGTTTGATAAGTGCCCTTGAAATATTTTTCCAGAAATGATCATTCGGAATGCAGACCTAAACCAGCTGTAGAAGAAAGCATAAATGAATGGATTGAGCATTGAATTCGACAGTGTAAACCAGTTAAGTGCTTCATACAAAGGCATTGTCACGCCACCTAGTAGCTGCAAGGAAAAACAAAGGAAAAAGGGCAACCAGCACAGCAAAAAAGCTCCCATTACAATAGCCAGAGTTTTAGTGGCTTTTCTCTCCATGTTACTGACACTCACGCCAGGCTGCGTTGTGTTCTGGATACTCCGAGCCTGTCTCTGAGCAACAAGAAAAATCCTTAAGTAGATATACAGCATAATGATCACTGGGAGGTAAAATGAGAAAACGGGAGCCAAGATTTTTTCAAGCACAACATCAGAAAAACAGTTTTGTTTACATTGTTCTTGGTTTAACTCTGCGATAATGAAACCGATGGCGACAAAAACAGAAACCCCCCAGCTCATCAGGATCATGATCACAACAACTTGAATGCTTATCTTTGTCCTGTATGTAAGCGGTTGACAGATTGCAAAGTACCTGTCAACCGAAATACAACACAGATTAAAAATGGAAGTTGTGCTCAGTACAACATCGAAGCTGTCCCGAATTTTACAGAATATATCCCTATAAAATAGACAGGAGGTGAGAGAGTATGCGATGCTTAAAGGAAAAACTACAATTCCAACAAGCAGGTCAGTCACAGCCAGAGAGAAGATTAGACAGTTGGAAGGTGTGTGGAGTTGTTTGAAGTAAATTATAGAAATTATTACAAGAAGATTTCCACAGACGATGACAAGAGACAACAGCCCCAAGAAAATATACAGCAAAACACAGATTGTTGATGGGGTCCTTGTCAATGTTTTAGTCTTATTATTTATTTCATAGCAAGGGTGGATACTAAAAGTAACATAAAAAGTAGATTTGGCCTCCATTGCTAAAATAACTCCTTAACATTAAATCGTCATTCATTCTATAAAATATATTCCAAACATGTTTTGGTATTCATGGCACAATACAAATAACCATGATATTTTTCCTCAGATGAGTGTTTTCATCTAACAGTTTCTTACCACACTCAGTGAATTGGCCTTCTTGTCAGATCACTGTGGTGCTGCTTTACTTGTTCCTTATCATCCCTAACGTTATCACATCATCAGAGACGTGCCCAATGTAAAGGTTGCAAAATTGCTGACTGTGTGTGTGGGTGGGGGGGGTGTGGGGGGTTGGGGGGGGGTTTAGAATGGTTAACACCTTTACTCAGGTGCCTCAAAATTTCTATTGTTCATTCATTATTAACGTTATTATTCATAATGTCATTGGAAAGTTGCTAAATAGTACAAAAGGATTTTAAAGATAATGGTTTGCCTTTTGGGGGACTTGTATGGTTGATTTGGAATGATTATGCAGAAAAGCAGACAAGTCATAAGTTTGCATAGGTTTAAAACAAGAAATCTAATTTGTTCTACTGCCGCAGACTTGAGTCAGCATTATACCTTATATGGTGTTATCAGATCAAAATGTTCTCTAGAATGTCACTTTTTGGTGGTACTCTCCATGAAACTGCCCAAAATAATCTCACTTTTTCTCCTCACTGTCAGGTATTTACCTTGATTTACATCAATAACTAGGAGACAGGTGATAGCGTGGTCACGGATCGTTTATCGAAGACTGAACTCACAGTATACAGGAAAACAGCCTGATGGCATCATGGGGGGTTACGGAAACCTCATAGGCACAAACATAACAAACGGAAAACCTGCCTTAATACCTAACATTTCCTCTCCCCATTTTCTGTCAGACTAAACCAATGATAAAGATAACACACCCTATCTAAATATAATAAAAAAAAGATAAGGCCATCCGTCAGAAAGGCTACAGCTACAAGACCAGACGGTCAGGAGGCCGCCGCTCGCGTGTGGGGTACCGGTGAGGATGGTTATTCACCGGAGACGGCGGCGGTGCGGATTCCGTTGTCGATGGGGGCTGGGGGACCTGATCTGTCGCGTTGTCCTCCTGAAGTGGAGCTGGTCGGGTGTTGGAGGCAGCAAAAACTTCCGCAGTGTCTGTCTGGTCGGTGATATCCAGAGCAGGAGAACCCATTGGCTCCGAGGCAGGGCCCTTGCTGGCCAACAGTTGGTCAGTATGACGACGCCACATTGCATCATTGTTGGTATGTACTTGGTATGACAACGGACCAGTAATGGCCACTATCTCTGCTGGCACCCACCTGGGACCCCGTAGGTGATTGTTAGCTAGGACAGGGTGTCCTATGTGAAAAGACCGTAGTGGGCCTGACCTACGTCGGCTTTGCTCCTGTTGTCTGATGGTGCAACGGCCCGCATTGTCCTCGGTGTGCTTGTCTCGCCCTGGCCACCAGAAATAGCTGCGAGCCAGCTCCTTCATGCGCACTATGCCACAGTGCCTGACGTGGAGTTGTTTCAGCATAGGGCTCTGCAGGGAAGGGGGTATGATGACCCTTCTGCCCCACAACAGACACCCTGACTGTGTGGAAAGTTCTTGTTTCCTGACCAAGTATGGTTTGTTTTCAGGTGTGTTTGAGATTCTCCTGCCTTTTATGACGGCATCCATTACCTCCGATAACACCGGATCGTTCCGTGTGGCATGCCTCACTTGTTTTGCAGTGACAGGGGTGTCGGCCACGTGCTGGAGGTAGAAGATGTCATTTCGTCGTGTCATTTTCCTCACCGCGGGGAGCGGTAGGTGGGAGAGGCCGTCCGCATTACTGTGTGTTTACTGATCAGCGGTACTTTATGTCGTAGTCATGGCCTGAGAGCAGCAGGGCCCATCTCTGCATTCTGCTTGCGGCCAACGGTGGAATGCCCGAATGTGGTCCCAGCAGGGCTGTTAGTGGTTTGTGGTCAGTCAGAAGCGTAAATCTCCTTCCGAAAAGATACTGGTGGAATTTTCTAATTCCAAACAGGATGCTCAGAGCGTCTAGCTCAATCTGTGCATAGTTACCTTCTGCCTTGTTGAGGGTCTTAGAGGCGAAAGCGATGGGTTTGTCTTTGCCGTCCGGCATGATGTGCGAGACGACCGCGTCAACTCCATATGGGGATGCGTCGCAGGCTAACTGAAGTGGTAGTGCTGGGTCGAAGTGGGTCAGCACCTCAGAGTTCAGCAGGGCTTTCTTTGAGCTGGCGAAAGCTATCTGGCAAGTCTCTGACCACTCTCATTTCTTTCCTTGCCTCAGCAGCTCGTGGAGGGGCTTCAATAAAGTGGAGAGATTGGGAATGAATTGGCCATAGTAGTTCAGGAGCCCCAGGTATGAGCATAACTGGTTGACATTTTGTGGTGCGGGGGCTTCCAAAATGGCCTTGGTCTGGGAGGGGGCCTTGTGTAGACTTTTGCTGTCAATCACATGGCCTAGATATTCAATGGAGGACTGGAAAAACTCACATTTTTCCTTGCGAACTTTCAGCCCGTATTCCCACAGCCTCCGTAGTGTCATGTTCAGGTTGCGGAGGTGGTCAGCGTTGTCCCTCCACGTTATGAGGATATCGTCCAAGTAGCACTGCACCCTCGGAAGCCCCTCCAGAATTTGATCCATGGCCTTTTGGAAAAGTGCAGGGGCCGATGTGATCCCAAAAGCCAAACGGCGGTACCGGAAAAGGCCCTGGTGTGTGCTGACTGTCAGTAGCTCCTTGGACTCGGGGTCCATAGGCATCTGTAGGTAGGCCTGGTTCAGGTCAATTTTACTGAACTGGTTTCCTTTCGCTAGACCCGCGAACAGTTCTTCGATGAGGGGCAGTGGGTAATGTTCATTTTGCAAGGCTGGGTTAACAGTCACTTTGAAATTGCCACAAATTCGTAGGCTACCATTTCTCTTAAGGACGGGCACGATTGGTGTGATCGGGACTAGCCTAAAATACATTATAAATATCAGGGATGCACAAGTCTTCTACTACTGGAGCTAAAGCTGCGACCCCCCCCCCCCAAAAAAAAACAAAAAAACAAACATCAATAATATCCTCATAAACTCGCGATATTTTTTAGGTAAAAAGCAACATTTTACTCACTTAGTTTTCTTGAAAAGTCAGTTTTGACAGTAAATCCGCCACCAAATCATAAAATAGCTATTACACCAAAACAACTATATTTCGGTTTGTTTGCTAGCTTTCCGCTGATTGGATATCTGACTATCCAATCAGCGGGTGTGAATACTAGTGATGTGTCCCTTCGTATCGAGGCTTCGAAGCGCGTGTCGAGAAATCAAGGATGATTTCTGTGAAGCGCGTATCGAAGCTTGTGTCGATGACGTATGCGGTGACGTTTGAAGCCTCGCGAACCGGCCGTACCACATGACTGATTCAGGAAGTGGTTCGCCGTTTGGCGGTCTATTCGAAATATAAGGGCCAGCAAAACGCAATGAATCCCCCCCTCACATTTTGTGGACTTGGGACTTAATTACGAGTTTGTGAGCGATCTATTCAAGCTTCCCTGTCATTGTATCATAAAGACAGACATCATCTAAAAGTTTATAATTCATGTATAAGCATCACAAACATCCATCCGTCCATTATGCTAACCGCCGATCCCCTAATGGCGTGGCGGGGGGGGGTACTGGAGCCAATGGGGAGGGGCGGGGTCAACCTGGATGGCAGCATCACAAACATCATTGATTAATTCACTCAATGCTTCAGACACCAAAGCCAGAGTCTCGTTATAACCACGCTGTACGTTTACATTTATTGTCCACCAGGGGGCAGAACAGAGCAAATGAAGCACCATGAAGCTTCAACACACGAGTGAACCAATTGGATGGAATGCTTCAAAGCTTTATGAAACTTCATCTCCCCATCACTAGTGAATACGTGACGTTGCCTAAGGCCTTCGAGAAAGCCCTGGCATCACCAGCCTAAAATCTGATTGGTTAAGGCAACAGCGTACTCGACATGTATTTTCTGTTGGGGGGGGGCCTGCAAAACAGATTGTGAAGGCCTCCAGGCAGATATCTTTGACTATGACCCTGCCTAGCGACAAATGATGGCTGAAATGTGATTGGTTAGATGCTTTTATATGAAAATACATGTCTGGAAGCAGCGCAACCAGGGGAAAAGCTATGAAAGGAAGTGGACAGACTATTTAGATATATTTTAATAAGTTTCCATGGACAAAATATAATTAACATCAGTCTGTGATGCAGATATTTTCTTAGGCCTGCAGAGAAGGCCTTGCAGGCCCTGACGGCCCACCACTGGTGGTCACTGATTATTTATCGAAGACTGAACTCACAGCATACAGGAAAACAGCCCGAGGGCATCATGAGGGGTTACAAAAACCTCATAGGCTCAAACATAACCAACGGAGAACCTGGCTTAATACCTAACACTCACAACCCCACTTTGAAGCATATTGAGGAAGAAGTAAGCAAGAAGAATGGGTTTTTGAGACAATGTATTGATTACAGCTCCTTCGGTCACATTACAATAAAGAATCAACAACCACTTCCTTTAATATTATCTGTCTTTTATCAGCTTCAGCAGGCAAAAATATTTACTAAGCTGGACTTGTGCAACGCCTACGATCAGGTTCAATTCGGCAAGGGGATCAGGGAGTGGAGGACTGGGTTTAATACCTCCAACAGTCATTATGCGAATCTGGTTGTGAGTCATGACCTGCCATCTTCCAGGCCATGATCAATGACATGCTCAGAATTTTTCTTGACCTGTTCGTATATGTTTACTTTGATGCCATATTAATTTACTCATCAAACCTATACCTTCACAAACACCAATTAAACAAAGTTCTTAAACACCTTCTCGACAATCTATGTCAAACAGAAAAGACTGAGTTTCATGCCAACACTATCTCCATTTTGGGTTTTATTTTAGCCCCTGAGAGTTTGCAGATGGATCCGCCTAAAATAAGCGCTGTGGCCAAGTGGCTACCACAAGAAACTTCAGCAATTCCTGGGGTTTGCTAACTTTTACAGGTAGTTTATCAGAGCCTTTAGTGCAACAGCTGCTCCCCTCAATGCTCTGACAACCCCCCAGGTCCAATACAACTGGGCCCCGGAGACAGGGGAGCCATTCCAGAACCTTTAGCACCTCTTCACTTGTGCTCCTATACTCACTTTACCGGACCCATAGTGTCAATCCGTAGTGAAGGTTGACGTGTCCAATCTGGAAATCAGGTTGGTCCTATCAGAGGTGGATGGCAATTTGCAATCCTGCACTTTCCTATCATGGCAACTGAATTCTACAGAGAGGAACTACAACACTGGCAAACAAAGCTGGTGGCTGTCATGGTGTCTTTGGGACTAGAGAGACTAAATTCACGCAAGCCAAGTAGGCATTATTTCTGAACTGCTTTTGGCATAATGTTATCTTACAGGCTGGGGTCGCAGAATGTCAAGCAAGATATCCCTGCCACGCATCTACAACCAGGAGCCTGTTGCCAAGGAACTAGAACCCATCCTTCCACTAACCATGTAGTTGGAGCGATTTCTTGGCCGATAGGACAAGAAGTAAAGCCTGCGAATGATGAGACGCCTCCACCTTGTGGGTATCCAAAGCATTGTTTTTCCCGGTCCATTTGAGCCCACAGGTTATTCATTGGTCCCACACCTCGTTGGTCACTTGTCATGATGGTCGTAAAAAACTGATTCTTCATTTCTCCATAGAATTGGGAGTCCAGGAGTACACTAAGGCATGTTTTTTCTGTTGCACCCTCTGCCCATTCCCTCAAGACCATCGTTGGACATTTCACTGGACTTTGTCTCAGGGCACCTAGTTTCGATGGATCACTTTTCTAAGAAAACAAAATTAATTGCTTTACCTAAGCTGCCCTTTGCAACTGTGCAAATTATGATGAAAAATATCTCTAGAGGGAGTTTTGCTGGCTCATCGGTGGCACAGCAACCGGTTGTCATCCGGAGGCCAGTGGCCAGACTGAAAGCCTCAACCAACAGCTGGAGACCAGTCTCCATTGTCTGGTGTCCCAATACTTGATTTTGAGGCACATCCAGTTCCTTCCACCCACACCCTGGCTTGTCGCTGTCTCCGCATCTGGGCCGTCGCCCCTCAAGTGCTCATCCGTCAGGGGGACAGAGTCAAAGGGGTAGGAGGCTGAAGACGCCGCCCTGCTTCTGAATATTGGCCCAGGCAGAGAGTGTGGTTGCAAGCCAAGGATCCTTACCTCAAGGGTCCCTCAAGAGCCTGGCACCATGGTGCATTGGTACTTTCCCCTTGAAAAATGATCAGTCCAGCCGCCATTTGCCTCCATCTGCCACAGGTAACTCACGTGTTTATCATTCCACATAAATCAGGTTAAGCCCTATAAAGAGAGCACCATGGTTTTACCTGCCAAGCCCCCCCTCCACCACCACATTCAGTTAGCATATTAGTGCAGTTGCAAGCAGTGCCAGACAGCTTGTGTCACTCTAGCAGCCTTCATTACCTTTCTATTAGTTATTTACAACTACTGTTACATCACCGCTCTTGGAAGGTGGGGTTCCCTCAAACCGCGGCGAGGTCATCTGGATTTGTTTTTGTTTTGTCTTGCTGTATTTTCATTTCCTGTTTTCCTGATTGTGTCCACCTATTGCCCACTCCCTTCAATGTGTACTTATGGTGTGTGTCCCTCTTTGTCCTGAGTATTTGTGCATTCAATCCTTTATAATGGAATTATTTTTATTTTATATAAATCCTACCCACACTGTTAAATGTGAATATATGACGCTCTTATTATGATAGGGAATGTTGTGTAGGTTCAGCCAATCAAACACTTGTATGTGATAAGACGTGTGATGTAAGCACGCAAGATCTGCAGTTCGGGTCAAGCATGAACAGAGAGGTCATGCTAAAGTTCGGCTCCGTGATATTAATAAAATAAGAAAACTGTAAAACTCCGCTCCGCTCATCTTTGTCACGTAGGTTAAATCTGCTGCTGCCGGATGAACACCCCAACACACACTACTCTTTTTTTTAAAGGGTGTTTTAAAAGTAACTTTAATAGCCTCTATCTTGGTAATTGTAAAAAAGACTTTTTTAAATCCTGCATCTGTTTTCTGTGTCCAGCCTTGTGAAAAATGTTCCAGTCTACCACACAAGAAATTCATAAAAAGAAAATAAAAAAGACCATTTCAAAATGAAACCCTTAAGCATTTTAATGTCTTTATTTTTTCATCTAAAACACATTCTATCACAAATATGTTTCGAGTCTCAGTTTTGTGGTGCTCGAGTTTTTGTATTAAAATGTTTTTGATAAAACATAGTGAATTTTCTTCAGATTTGTGAAGTACACGTGCCAGGGCAAAAGTTCATGTAGCAAGGAAATACGTAGTGCTTTACTAATAACATAATGTGCATGACAACAAAATGTATCAAATTGGAAATAGGTTTTGAAAAAAACTTTAATTTCATCCATCAAAAACAGTTGGAGTAGTAAAATTCTAACAAACAAGATGTACAGCATACATATATATGTATGTATATATATACACACATATACAGTATGACTTTGTTTTACATACACGGTTTCATGAAAACAGCTCCATATTCAACTTTAAGTCTGGTGGACAAAAAGCACAGGAAGGGTGATCACATTGTAGAAAAGCTTGTAGTTTGGCCCTAAATTATATATGAAAACAATGTTTTAAAGCCAACATTTTGACAGACAGTTCCATAATGCAGAAACCTCAGAATTGTTTACTTTATTTATTTTATTTATTTATTTATTTAATCAGGACAGTGCACATTAATGAGCAATCTTACACTTCTGTACAGATTGTAAATGAGCCAGATTATAGCATAGTTGCTAATTTACATCTGTCGTCCTGAAGCAGGAAGACAAAACAACACAAAATCACATAATACAATATCAGTCAAGACACACGTTCAGACAATGACATTACAACAATAAAATTAGTTAGATTACTTCAATATGTATGGATCAAACAGCAAGTCAGATTTAATTGGAATCAAATCTATCTATTCCTCACTCTACAGTACAAATTAAATTGTAATTGTTGTTTTTTTGTTGTTGTTTGTTGGCTTTTTTACAGGGGAACCATCAGCGCATTATTCCTATTAAAAAAAACACATGTATGCACAATAAGATCTGCAAAATGTTTTACTTCTTATTGCAACTAAGGGAGATCTCTGTTATACATCTGACCTGTTTTTTCTTATAGAAAGCACAAAACCTTGTTTTAAACTCTAACATTCATGCCGTAAATGTCTATGTCTCAAACATAGTCAATTCAGTTTTGAGTTAGAAAAATCCCCATGGAATATTTGACCTGAAATAATCATTTTAAAGGCCGATTTGAACCAACTGTAAAAGAAAGCATAGATAAAGGGATTTAACATTGAATTTGACAGTGTTAGCCAATTAAGGGTTTCAATAACAGGAACTGGGATTGGGTTCTTACTAAAAGGCAGAATACTAATACAAACAAAGAAAGGAGTCCAGCAAAATAGAAATGCTCCAAGAACAATAGCCAGTGTTTTGGTGGCCTTTGTTTCCATTTTACTGACAGCTCCTCCAGGATTTGCTGTGCCATGAATGCTTTGTGCTTGCCTCTGTGCAACAAGGAAAATTTTCAGGTAGATACAAATCATTATGATCACTGGAAGATAAAATGATAATATAGGTCCAACTGTATTTGCCATGAGCACATCAATAAAACATGTTTCCTGGCATTCCTCATTGTTCAATCCAGGAATCATCACACCAACTCCAATAAGAAAAGAAATCCCCCAGCTTGCCACAATCATGACAACAACAACCCGGTGATTAATTTTAGAATGATATGTTAACGGTTGACAGACAGCATAATACCTGTCAACAGAAATGCAACACAAATTCATAATAGAGCATGTGCTAAGGGACACATCAAAGCTGCTTCGCACTTTGCAAAATAAACCTTCGTAATACAAACATGAGCTGAGAGAGAATGCCATGCTGAGAGGAAAGACTAAAATTCCCACAAGCAGGTCAGCCACAGCCAAAGAGAGGATCAGATAGTTAGTCGGAGTGTGAAACTGTTTGAAATAAATGATGGCTATTATTACAAGGAAGTTTCCACATACTGTGACAAGACCCAAAAGTGCAAGAAAAATATAGAGGGTTACACATATGACAGAAGGGGTTGTGGTTAGTTTGTAATTAAAATGATCAATCTCATAGCAAGGGTGTAAATCAGTCACAGCATCAGTCCTGTTGACGATAACTTCTGGATCCATGATAACCTGCAATTCAACCTGCAGTTAGTGATATAAACAAAGGCACAATACAGACAATACATTTTCAATATAATGACGCCATATTTACTTTGATGTCACATTTAGTTAGTTAGTATAGTAGTGAATCTGGTTGTGCTGGACAGCTTGTGTCTCTGTCAGAGCCTTCATAACCTTTTTGACAACTGCTGTTACGTCATCGGAGTTATAATCCAATGAGAAGTTAGAATCACAGTTTCAATTGCAATTTGTACATAGTGAAGGCAAATGGTGATCAAGATCCAGCACTATCTTTCTTTCATGTGGACACTTAAGATTTTCTGGCTGACTGGAAGAAAAAAAAACTGTATAAGGGTACAATCAGACACAGGGCCCACATAGATGCAAAAAGGTTTAATGATTAAAAACGTATTAACACTTACCATATTAAACCATGCCATTGATCTACTAATATTTAGGGAATCCAGATTTCACACATAAATCTCAGAGATATAACCATCACAATTCTTACAATTTACTGTGCCCCATGCAGATAATGCCATTGAACTTCAAACTCTCAAGATCTCTTGATTCCCTTTAATTCTGTATAGGTTCAGTAGAAATTATCTCTAAACTAACCATCCAGCAGTCAGGTGTAATAATAACCCCAGAAGTAGAGAACCATATAGGATGCGTGTTTCACCTTAACGGAGACTTTCCACATCAAACCATACACATTTGCAAATTATCTCTTGAGCAAGACAGAAAGTTCTCCCAATGAGATACTGTAGAAGTGTGGCAAAAGTAATCATTATGTATGCTTCTTCTCAGCAATGGGACAAGGGTTATAACTGTTTGATGGCTAGGTTTGGGGTATATCAACCACTTGGTTGGAGCTGGAGGTCATCAAAGATCTTAATGGCTTGAAAGTATATATTTTGTATTTATATTTAATTATTTTTATATCTTTTCATACCATTATGACACTTTGTTATTTTGAATATTACAATGTTATCATACAGGATACAGCTAAATTGAAGTGCAACTCTCTTGGTGGAATTTACAAATAGCATAAGAATAATATTGCATCCAATCCATCCATCCATCCATTTTCGTAACCGCTTATTCCCTAATGGGGTTGCGGGGGCACTGGAGCCTAACGCAGTAGTCAGTGGGCAAGAGGCGGGGTCCACCCAGGTTGGTCCACCAGTCCATCGCAGGCCCACACAGAGAAACACAAAGACAAACAGCCATGCACACACACCCTCACTCCTAAAGGCAATTTGGAATGTCCAATCAACCTAACATGCTGGTTTTTGGATGGGGGGAGGAAGCCGGAGAACCCGGAGAGAACCCACGCAGACACAGGGAGAACATGCAAACTCCACACAGAAAGGTCTTGGTACCCCCGTAGCAGTGTGATTCAGTGCAGGTGCAAGTCAAGATTGTGGAATGAAGAAGTTCTTCTCACTTCAGTGTATTTGGTTATTCCTGAGAAACGGTTCATTTATTGTGCGTGATCAATATGATCAGTATATGTATGTTTTAGGGGGACAGGTTCATTTGGTTTTGTGATATTTGACTGTGGATCCCTTTCTGTGTGGAGTTTGCATGTTTTCTCCCTGCGTCGGTGTAAATTATTTTCCCCCTATCGTTCAAAAAAATGCAAGGTTAATTAGACGAGGAGTGAATGTGATTGTGTGGTTGTTTGTTTTCTGTGTGGCCTTGTGATGAACTGCCAACCTATCCATTGATTACCCCACCCCCCACTGGACCCTTTCTATGCAGTCCCGGTGGATGTAGATTGGCGTGGGTCCACTCTGACCATCCTGAAGTCCAATATGAGGTGTTTTGTTTTTGTGGTGCTCAGTCGAAGGTTGTTAACTGAACACCAGACAATCAGTCTGTTGTCCTCATCTGTGTAGTCGGACTCCAACCACTGTGGTGTCATCCGGAAAGTTTATGATGGTGTTTGAGAGGGAGCAGTCAGATGTGTAGTGTTAACAGGAGGGGCATTAAAACACTACAGTCTGGACAGCCGGTACTGATTGTGATGGTACTGCACAGGTGGGGGCTGAGTCTTATGCCGATTTCTCAAAAAGTATTTGATCCAGAGGCAGATGGGGGTTGAGAGAACCAGGTGAAACCATTTCTGGACCAGGATTTCTGCAATTACGTAATTAAATGATGAGCTGAAGATCAGGACGAGCATTCTCACGATTCCCCCCAGGTACTCCAGATGACTCAGCATGGTGTGGAGCACTGTGGTTATAGTGTCCTCGGTGGATCGGTTTGCCCTGTAGGCAAGCTGGTGGGGGTCCAGAGTGAGAGGCAAACAGGTCCTGATGTGTTTGGAGGCCAGTCTTTCAAAACACTTCATCACTACAGCCATAAGGGCAACAAGCCTGTAGTCATTGGAGCTATCCACTGCTGTTTCCTTGGGGGTGGGAGTGAGGTTCTGAGGCAGGGTGTCACGGGGAACGATGGAAGATTTTAGTCAAAATTGGTCGCAAGTACCTTGCCAGGTATTCCGTCAGGGCCAGCCACCTTCCTGGAGTTCATAATTCTCGGAAAACCACTGAAATCGTGCTTGCCACCATCATAACAGTCTATCTGTAATTTCCTTGACATTACACTCCCCAATTCATTGCTTTCATGGCCACAATTATTATAGCTCACGATCAGTCAGTCATTGGGGCTGTTTTGTATTAAATCTCCTGACAAAAGTTGAAAAAGTCAGAAATCTCCAAAAATTTGGAGACAGTCATAGTTTGGTTTAGTTTATTTACAAATGTTCTCGTCTCTTTTTTATTGAAACTTCTTTCTTATGGGAATTGGATCAGAAAAGAAAAGAAAAATGAGTCAAAGTTTATTATTTCTGAAGCAAGAACATCCATCCATTATCATCACTGCGTATTCCCTAATGGGGTCACAGGGAGAACTGAAGCCTATCTCAGTGGTCAATGGGCAAGAGGCCAGTCCACGCACACTCACATTCTCTCCTAAGGGCAATTTGGAATGTCCAATCAACCTAACATGCAGGTTTTTAGACTGTGGAAGCCAAAGAACCTGGAGAGAACCCACGCAGACACATGGAGAACATGCAAAGTCCACAAAGAAAGGTCCTTGTTCCAACAGGGACTCAAACCCAGAACCTTCTTGCTGAGGTGATGGTGCTAACCACCACACCATCGTGCCACCCAGAGCAGGAGCAATATTTTGTAGAGCATTCCTTCCTGCAAGAACAGCAGATTAACGAGATAAACCGGGAACAAACCCATTTCACAAGTTATATTCTAAAAAGGTTATATTCTAAAAAATTCATTACCCAGATCCGCAATTTTTATAAAGGTGAATTTTGTGTACTGAAACCACAAAGTAAGTATTTAAGTGAATGAATGCAATCACTCTGCTCTTTCTGGCTATTTCACATCACTAGCTGAAGAATTCAAAGCTCTATTGCCTCTTCCAAAATACAGTAATGTTATATGTAAATTGGCTACTCTGTTCATGTCAAATTACACAATAAATATTAAGAATCCTCAACACTGTCAAAATGTTGCAATTTCTGAAAAAAATTGTGTACAGATTCACTGTGTATTCATACCTCCTCTACTGCAGCAGTTATTGGCATAAATAGACCTGAATTTGACCCTAAAAACAATCCCAAGACATTGGGATTGCTATATTATTTACACTGACAGCCGATTTATGAATACAACTTTAAAACATGGTATAGTAACATGTTACTATATTTTGAATCTTAATATTTTACTTATACTTGCTGTTGTGTAACATTGATAACACGTACAAGTAGAAAAAAAATTAGAAAAAAAATTAATTCTACAATCTTGTCAGACTTTAGTTGTAACACGTCTACCATTTCTACTCCAAGAAGTTGTAGTTATTTTACAATGTAAAGTGAAAAGAGGCTCCAGACAATGCTGAATACTGTGTGTCTTCGACTGTGTGCCAAGGAAACTGTTACCTGCACTTATAATCAAAGATTATTAAATGTTTTTCTACACTGAAATATTAGATTTATGTTTTTTTTTCTCTAATCAAACCCCGTATCTTTTTTGTATGATTTTCCATAATTGATGTTTAAAGTCAACGCTATTGTGACAAGACACTGAAGTAAATGGAAACCTTTTTAATGATCAGAACAATATGTGGCATATCCATCAATGTTTATTGTGTTTACCATTTCATACAATAACTCAAGAGAGTTTTGAATAAGTGAAATCACCCTGAAATATTTTTCCAGAAATTATTATTTTAAAAGCCTCTTTGTACCAGCTGTAAAAAAAAGCATAAATAAATGGATTCAACATTGAATTTATTAGAGTAACCCAGTTAAGGGTTTCAATCACAGAAACTGGCACTGGATTGTCGCTAAAAGGCACTAAAGTGATGCAAACAAAAAGAGGAGCCCAGCAGATTAAAAAAACACCCATAACAATAGCCAGAGTTTTAGTGGCTTTTCTCTCCATCTTGTTGACAGCTGCTACTGATTTTATGGTGTTCTGAATGTTGCGGACTTGTTTCTGTGCTACAAGGAAAACCTTAAGGTACGTACACAGCAATACAAGGGCAGGAAGGTAAAAAGAAAAGGTCGGCCCCAGAGTGCTTGATAGCAGAACCTCCAAAGAACAGCTATCATTACAAGCCTCATGGTTCAAGCCGGCAATTATCATACCAATTCCTGTTAGGAGGGAAATACCCCAACTCACTAAAACCATCACCAAAACAACACATCCATTTATCTTAGTTCTGTAGGTGAGAGGCTGACACACGGCATAATATCTGTCAACAGCGATGCAACACAAGTTCAGAATGGAGCATGTGCTAAGCGAAACATCAAAGCTGCCCCTTATTTGACAAAATAAATCTTCATGGAACAGACATGAGCTCAAGGAGAAGGCCATGCTGAAAGGGAAGACCAAAATTCCAACCAGCAGATCACTCACAGCCAAAGAGAGGATTAGAAAGTTTGTGGGAGTGTGGAGCTGTTTAAAGTAAACAACAGACATAATGATAAGGAGGTTTCCACACAGTGTGACAAATGCCAATAAAGCGAGAAAAATATACAAGATAACACATACTACAGATGGATTACTTTTTAGAACATAAGAAAAATTGTCTATTTCATAGCATGGATGGACATGATGAATAGCTGCAGTCTTATTGGTAGTTTCCATGCATCTAGTCTGATGTAGATTCTGGTCTCTTTAACAGCAAATCCTTAATGAGGAAAAGATTTCTCAAGTCAAGGTTTAGTTACCATGTAAAATGACCCATCTAGGATAACTTGTTCAACAGAAAGTAACTAAACAGTTGATTCGGGTGTTTATACTTATATAGCATCAGCATAATTTGCATAATCTCCCATCTCTTTTGTATATGGTCACGAGGTGATCATTAAAACAGTGAAGTAATGTTTCATGCATTTTTCAATGACATCATGTCACTGTCATGTGACATTTTAATTACATTACTAATTAGCTCTCTTAAATGTTTGGCTGCTTTAAACATAGAGTAAAAAGTTCTTACTGTTTGTGTTTCAAAGATTTATATAAGCTTTTTTATTAAATTTGACATTTGGTTGAAAAAAAGCAGATTCTGCAATCTTGCCCCCTATTTTTGTTACGCAAATATTTCCCATTTTTGTCTATAACTGTTAGACTGCAAATGGGTCTCAGAATTCTAGGAAGGATACTGTCCATTATTCATTCTCAGGTCTTTTGGAGCCACTCTTGTGCTGTGTGTGTGTGTGTGTGTGTGTGTGGGCGTGCGTGCGTGCGTGCGTGCGTGCGTGCGTGCGTAAGTATGTATGTATGTATGTATGTATGTATGTATGTATGTATGTATGTATGTATGTATGTATGTATGTATGTATGTATGTATGTATGTATGCATGTATGTATGTATGTATGTATGTATGTATGTATGTATGTATGTATG